TTACTTTTTCGAAAAACTTTTTTATATATAATCTTTTATAATTTGTAATAAGTGATACCAGCGCCAGTTGTAAACTTTTTTATGTTAACATTATATTGCAACAATATTGTGTATGTATATTTTTGAAAACGATGAAATGTTTTAAAAGTGGTTTCATAAGTATGATAAAATCACAATCCTAATCGTGTACATTTTAATGCATTTATAAATATATAATATGCATTGTATAAATATTTACGAAAATAATATGAATACATGTATGACACCATTACTACATATTTTTCATTGACTGTAGTTTGTTTATTTTTCTCTGAAATAAAAGTATACCTTTTTTAAAATGGCGTCGTGATTTTCATGTTTTTGAAAACAGCACAAGGTACATTATCTATTTGAAATATCTAATATTTACATAATTTCGAAAATGTGTAAACGTTTACATTTCAATGCACGCGACTGTATCCCACAATCTGCGATTGACATTAATAGCCATCGCGAGCACCCGCGAGCTCGCACGATATCGTACGACACATCGTGTTACATCAACAAATATTTCAAATCTCGTCTCGCCCATCCTCGTCAATCCCGACCGTTTCCACCGAAGATGCGCTAGGAGAGAATTGATATTTTGCCATATAAGTTTTAAAAATCGTCTCGCCTCGTCTCATTTCGTCTTGATAGTGGAAATACACCCTTACACATAAACACGATACGACATCGCGTCGTAGCACGACGACATCGGTCGTACCCTAGCGAGCATTAAGAGCTCTTACACGAATCGTGTTTATATGTAAGAGCCCTAAGCCATTTTTGTGTTTGTTCTTAGATTGCGTCGTTATTTTAGACAATTAGGAGATTTTTTATTTGTACACGAACAAAATTAAAAATTCTTGACTGAAAAATATTTAATCAGAATTTGCTAACGACCTTAAAAACTACTTTGAGATGCAGGGATTGTTTACAAATAAAATTGTATTGTAGCAATATCTTCATAAATTGACATCACGTGCACCAAGTCACTAAAAACCAAAATTGTCAGTTTGTATTTTAAACAATTTTAACTTAACTTTTCAAAAAATAAAAAAAACATGAATTCAACTTATCAAGCCAATCTTTAAGCCATAATATACACGAAAAGAAAATGTTCAAAAACAGCTAAAATAGCCCTACTGGTACATATAATTGTCATTGTTGTGTGCACGTGTATAATGTGATATCATGTTTCAACAGTGTGATATCATGTTTCACAGCCTTTTTACAAACACTATCCATAGACTTCTACTGATTAGCCTGCATGTGGTCAAATGAATACAATATAGGCTAAGGTTAGTTAAGCCGAGTGCAGTAGCAGAAAGTTGGTACAGCTATCTAACGGTATTGATTGATATTCTAAGCGATTTTTCTTTTGTAGCAAATTATGTCATGTTTTCATTGATTAAAATACTACATGTCTCATTCACAATCAATTTCCGATCATTCACAATCAATTTCCGATGTAATAGGGGTTAAAGTATGAAATTGCCGATTTGTACTGAAAATCTAAATTGTTTATTTTTTAAATTTTTAACAAATTTATTTAATCAAAATAGTTGCCATTATTATCTATACATTGCTGCCATCTAATGGGAAGGTTATTAATGCCTTTGCGATAGAACTCCGACGATCTAGACTGCACAAACTGTGTGAAAGCATTTTGTACTGCCTCCTGGGAAGAAAACTTCTTGTCACGTAGATAATTGTCCAAATCACGAAAAAAATGGTAGTCCGTTGGAGCAATGTCTGGTGAATACGGAGGATGACGAATGGTTTCTAACTGCAGTTCCTGAAGGGTCAAAATGGTTTCTCGTGCTGTGTGAGGTCTCGCGTTGTCGTGGAGCAATAATGGTGAAGATCGATTCATGAGTCGGGGCTGTTTTACTGCTAGTTTTGTCAACATGGTTCGGAGTTCGGCACAATAGACATCTGCCGTTATTGCTTGACCAGATCGGAGAAAACTATAGTGAATAACACCATGCTGAGACCACCAAACAGTTACCATTACCTTTTTATTGGTAAGTTTTGCTTTAGGACACTGTTGTGGCATTTGACCTGGGGTCAGCCATTGCATTTTTCTTTTCCGGTTATCATAAAGAATCCACTTTTCATCACATGTTACAATTCGATCCAATATTCCTTCATTTCTGTACCGGTTCAACAAGGCAACACAAGTTTCAACACGCGTTTCTTTCTGCAGATCAGTCAAATCATGAGGCACCCATTTTTCGTATTTTTTATTTTATTGATTTGACGCAAGTGAGTCAATATTGTGGGTAAGGCAACGTTAAACCATGCCGCTAATTCCAGGGTAGTTTGACTAGGATCGGCTTCCACTATCTCTCTTAATTCATCGTTATTCACCAGTGTGGGCGGTCTTCCTCGTGACTCGTTCTTTAAGTCGAAATTTCCATCACGAAAGCGTTTAAACCAAAATCGCACGGTGCGTTCATTAGTAGACCCCTCTCCAAACGCAGCATTGATATTGCGGGCTGTTTCTGCCGCGTTAGTTCCGCGTCGGAACTCGTATTCAAAAATCACTCGAATTTTCGCAGTATCCATCTTTCTTGTCTAAATTGAATAACAAAAACAATTGAAAGTCGATATTCAAATGTTTCAAATTAAAAAAAAAAATCACAGAAACCATTTGAAAAAAGTTTCATTCGAAAACCTCAAACCATGAAGATTCTATGAAAATTCAAAGAACCTATTGCAATAAAACGGCAATTTCATACTTTAACCCCTAATATTATTTATTAGCATCTCTCCCTTCAAATAAAAAAAACCTTTACGGATGACACAGTCGTGTATTAATTGCTGGTGTTTCAAAACTTTTATTAAACAAACTACATCGCAGACATGACTTAGTATTAGTATTATCAATAGCCTCATCAAATTTCGGGGAAAGATATTGAAATGATGGTAACCGAGGGCGCGTTCCCATTATGTCGTGATGATAGATAGTCGTGCAGTTTAAAGTGTCGTGGCTTGTATATTTAAATGAAGTTGTTTACATATAGCACAATACGATTAACTGTCGTTCATGACTTTTTTAACGTTTCGACGACAGACTGTCGCGACAATGGGAAGACCTAGAACGAAAATCGTGTGACGATAAATAAAACGTCACGATAAAAATGTGACGACAGATAATCCAGCTTCAAACGATTCTCTCGTGCAAACGACAAGGCGGCCGCCGTGAACCGATAAATTGCCGTTACGATCTAGTGGAAACAGCTGTACACGATAGTCGTTCAACAATAAAAGAAACGTCCATGACACAGTCACGACAGATAGTCGTGATATGGGAACAGGCTAGACGCGATAGTCGTCCAACGATAAATAAAACCTTACGACATAATGGGAACGTAATGGGATTGGCAGATTTTTTAGGCGCTCTAGTTTGTTAAGCAGTTCCTGAGTAGCTTCCAAATAACAAACATCGGTAACAAACATAGTCGAGAAGAGGGAGTAGTAAGGACCGAGCAAGCATAAGCTTGGTGTTGAAGAATTGAAGCTGCTTGAGAGAATGATAGGAAAAGTGCATACGTCGACTAACCTTATTTACCTGTAGTCTGCAAGACAGTGTACGGTCGATTATCAGACCCAGGTTCTTAGTGTTTTCAGCATATGCAAGACTCACTCCATTATACGAAACCTTGGGGAGATCATTAATGTCCAACCCGTAGTAAAGTTATGATTATATTTTTGTTTGTTGACATTTATTCTACATCAAATTTGGCTAAGGTCTAGGTATATACAGCTGAGAGATCGTACTATCGCAACGCATCCTTGATGCATCTTGGGGTACCATGATACCACATTGTTTCATGTATGAAACCAAATAATGTCGTAACTCGAAAATTATGTATGGAATTGAGATTACATGAATTGAAAATTTAAAAAAAATTAATCTTATTGCGAACAATTTTTATTTAAACATTAATTATTAGTTATCTACTTATAAACTAGTATATAAATTTATTGGCTTCATTCAGTTTTCAATTTTTTGAACTTTCAAATCGTATTTTCTCAATTGCATCATTTTTTAGTAACGACTGTATTTGGTTTCATGTACGATATTCAAACGCTACATGACCAATGATTTTGTCTATCTTTTTTTTAACCGTCAGGACACATCTTAAAGTCGTCTGTTAAATTCGCAGACTCCTCGTTTCCTTGAGTTCAGCAAAAGTTGTGGCTGGTATATTAACGGTAATTGCAAATGAAGACACGAAGGAAGACAATCAACAGTGGCGAAATATAACACACATCTATTCTCAGCGCTATTTTAGGTTCCCGGCATATAATTTGGCAGTATTGGTAAGCTCATTGAGAAGAAAATATTGTTAATAAAACATTTGACTCGTCGATGCATACGAGAAGCAACGTACTTTTAATAGAGATTTCTTAAGCAGTTCCGCAATTAGAATATCCCAGCCACTGATTAACAAACTAGTCGAAGTGTAAAATGAGCGTTCCCTTGTCACCATGCATTGTTATGATAAATCTATCATAACCAACATTTGTTATACGCCAACACTCTCTCAACGTGAACGTGTGCTACGTAAACCAAAAATATTTTTTGAGTGTATTATGGTTTATTGTTCAATTTTGTTTCGTCGAATTAATAGTAATGTATCCAGTGAAGGCGCCTCACAAAGTGTTATTTTCACTAAATTAATATTTTTCACTAGTTTGTTATTCCGTTATCCCAGCAAATAAAACGGATTTGGATTTAGCCGTCTGCGTCTGTCACTAAAATAATAATAATAATAGTAATAATTTGGCAGTATTGGTAAGCTATTTGAGAAGAAAATATTGTGTATAAAACATTTAAGTGTCACTGCCGGGAAATACCGCCTCTCCCACTTAAAAATTCTAAATTAATCTAGGCCTTGGGAGAGGCGAGAGTCTAAAATAGATATAATAATAATAATAATAATAATAATAATAGTAAGCCTGTGTCGTGGGTGTCATGGACACACACATCAACCACAAATTACACCCAAACTCATGACAGAAATGTAGGCCATACAAATATTTCTGCCGGCCCGGGAATCGAACCCGGGACCTCTGTGTGGCAGATCAGCATGGTAACCGTTTGTCCACGGAGGCAGTCACTAGCATAATAGCAAGCCATCCTGCCTATTTAGGTATAGTAAGTTGCTTAGTGGACATATAAATGAGAAAAACAAAAGTTCTAAAATGTATGATTTAAACTAATTATATCGAGTTGAAGTCTGTTGTGTAGTTGTGTAGACATAAAAGCCTAATGTCATCACAGAAATCGTCTGTTATGAGATTATGACCGTTTTACCAAGAAATCTTCAATTGTCAAAGATACGTCTGTAGTCGCTGTGCCAACTTCACTCCCATTTGAACGGCTAAGACAGTTTCCTCTGTTGATTTATTAAAACCTTAAATAAATCGACCATCCTCACAATTTGGTGTTCTCAGCCTAATTACCGCGGTCAATTTTTTTTTCTCCCTTATTATAACCCAATATTGAATAATATTGAAATATGAACAACTTGTAACTAAACTATTAAGTGGTTAACTACAAAGTGGTTTTCGAGCTATTAAGATAGAAATATTTTATGGACCAGTTGGAAACGGTAATTAGAAATTTTTATTTTAAATTGCTGCGGGAATTAGAAAGTTCAAACATTTTTAGGAAAATATAAAAACAAAAATTAAAAAGGCACCTTAATACGTAAAAATAAGCATCATTTCTATTTTATATTTTCCACACTTTTTGTAATTAATTACACAGAAATAAAATGTTTTTTTGTAAATTTTTAAACTTTTGAAATGATCAAAATGTAAATGATTACACTTTTCTATAAATTTCGTAACTGTAATTAATCATAAAAAATTATTGGAGTATTTTTTTCTAATTATACAATTAACCAAATATTAAAAAAACTATTTTAAAATTATTAAAAAGAAACTCTTGGAAGGCACTTATATCGGCAGAAATAAACAAATTCTAAATTTAAATGTAAATTTTTAAACTTTCAAAACATTTTGAAATAATCAAAATGTAAATTATTCCACTTTTCTATAAATTTCATAACTGTAATTAATCATAAGAAATTATGGGAGTATTGTTTTATACAATTATACAATTAACCAAATATTAAAAAATCTAGTTTATTTATTTAAAAAAAACTCTTTGATGGCACTTATATCGGCAGATATAAACAAAATATAAAATATAATACGTTTAACTGTATCAAAAGAAATCGATTAGGCTCTATAAACACATCATTTCGAATCTTGGTCCCACAAAGCTTCGTTCAAAGAATGTAGATGGCTGGCAAAGTTCGTTCCTGAGAACATTTTTGTGGCTTTCTAACATCGAACTAGAACCTTGTTGAACTTACTATATTTCAGGAATTTGCTGGTGATGGATATTTGATGGGATTTCTTATATTGTGAACATATTTTTCAGAACCTACGCTTTCAGTATAACTTTTTCAATTGTTGCCATTTTTGCTAGTTTTTTCTATTATACCATACTTTAAATAAGTTCTGTTTCGCGTTCGAATTTTTTATGATTTTTAAAAGTCATTTCCTCACACTAGAAACAACTCTTTTCTCTTTTTCTTTTATTATATCTCTCTTTTTCCTTCTCTTTTGATGCTGATATAAACTCTGACTAGGCAAAAGTGTACACAATTAAAAAAATATATTTGAGGTTTTATTTGATATTCAGGGATAGGAAACGTCCGCATATGTAAAGCTTTATTGTTTTGAGAATGACCGAAGTAACAAAAAAGTAAATATTCTTAATGCTTGATTCATATCACCGAGACGCAACGCAACGCGAACGTGGCGCTACATTGAAACGAGCAATGCAACATTTACTTTATCCTTTATAAAATAAGGCAACATTTCATTAAACAAACAAATGAAAACGAAGCTGCAGCAAGCGGCGACGGGCTGCAGCGAGCTACGGCTGGCGCACTTTATAAAATGCAATATACTATAGAACATATTGTCTACTAAATACAGTATACATTTCTTCAAACAACAAATAACAAGTCGCGACGGTTGGCGACTGTAGTCGACTTCGCGCGGTGTAACTCGGTGCAGCGCGTCGCTGCTTTCCGTCGCTAGCTTGTGGCGCCACGGGCAATGCAAAATGTCATTTGGCTTCTCAACAACAAGGTATAATTATTTAAAAGGCAGCTATCAGCTGATCGATGCCGGTATGCGTAGCGCGAACTTTGCAAATAGCAATGCAATATAGAACTTCTCATCTAATAAATAAAGTGAATATTTCTTCTCACGGGAATATGAATGGGTGGTCGTGTTTAAGCAATTTGTAGATTTTACATGTAATTAATGTAATAGTCCAAATAAGATGACCTCGATAGTTCAACGGTTTGCACTGTCGGCACTGCATGAAAAGGTTTCTGGTTCGGTTCCCGATAGAACCAATTTGGGAAATGAATTTATCTGAAGTAGTTCTGGCCTAGGCGCTCTGAGTAGAGACGCGGAGCGAATTTCGTAGCTCTTGGTTCTGCATTCGATTCCCGGTAGAACCAATTTGGGCGCGCTGTGCGTCAAAAATATGACGTCATTCGCTATAGTGAAAAATAAAAATAGCAGTTTTATCAATTATCTTGACAGCTAAATGTGGCTATAATAGGTTTATTGCGGCGTCATGCTACGGGCACTGGTGGTTGTCTAATAATAATAATAATTTATTGTACACAAAAATGGAACATGTTACACGGCACACATTATAATTAAACAGGTTTTGTACAACAGTGTCCAAATAGGTGACGATACATCCCACCCCTGAACTAGGTGGTAACCTGTGTCTCAGGGGTTAGAGTTACTCGACACACAATGTCAACAAAAATGTGAAACGGACGGTGTAACAGTTCCTACTTAAACAAAATAATATTTAAGTGAAAAGCAATGATTAGACATGTATAACAAATTAAATTAAAAGAAAAAAACAAAATGGGTTTAATACATTTTAAAATTAAATTAAAAAAAAAAACAAAAAACAATAAGTTGCAGTAAGAACAAAAACTTTAAACACACATAAAACGTGATGTGACTGAAAAATTGTAAAGAATTAAAAACAAAAAAGAAAGAGATTCTTTGCAATGATGTTTTATAATTCAAAAGAGGGTTTTAGAGGAGATTCTCTTTATAATCGTACGTAAGAGTCTGCAACCAATTTTGTACCTTAATTTTGACGTTGTGTTTTGTTAGTGTGTAAATAGAGATTAGTTAGTTTACGTTATTGTAAAGTCGGGATCCCTGAGCGGCAGCCTGTCGACGAGTAAAAGAAGTGCGGCAAGAGACTATCATATTGACTGGGTGACGTCGACGATTTTGGGCGAGGGAGTCATCCGGCGGCAAAGATGATTTCTGGCGTAGTATAGTGCGAGGGATGTATATTTGTCTCACAGTTAGAAATGGGTAGTTGGATAATTACTTCTCTTAAAGAACATTACTTTAAGGATTGTTATCTGTGCACGCTTGCATGGATTAGAGAAGTTTTGTGGGTCCCCCAATACAGGGATGCAATAGGCAATAACTGACTGGCATTGGTTTTGATATTTGCGTCACATGCATGTCATGTCCTTGTGATATAAGATCTCAAGTCTCCTGTGCCGTAGATTACGCCCCGTCTGCCCCACACCTGTCCCCGTTATCTGTAGAGAGAATACTTACATGACCATAGTATTACAATTACATCACCATACCTCCACTAAATATAAAATCTTACGAGTTCTCTGATACGCTTGAAAATGTTATGCATTATTCCCAGCAGATGCTTCTGTAATCGATCTACTTTGTATATAACATAGGTATAAAAGAGTACATCTACTAAACAAAAAACTGTTTTACCTCAACAGGAGATGAATATATCATGGCTGTTCAATACAGTCGTAAATAAAATACCTTTGGCTTCATTAGATCAAGATTATGATGGTATTTGTACAGCTACTGTTATTAGAACTACTACAGTAAGTCTTAAGTAATTCTATCGTAGGTAAGGTATAATTTGGGATAGCGCAGCGTTGAATGCAAACAGGAGAGGACTGTGATGTTTGCTGTGAATTAGCAGTCTAAGATCTAAGATATTTAACAAATGGCCATCTGATAATGACGAAATACTATAGAAAAAAAGCTAGGGTACTTTTTATTGAAGCGCACGGAATTTCGCCCAAGTCCTTGCAAACACTGGCAGATTAATATTGAACTTTTAACATATCACTTCTGGCAACTTTAAACGCTCAATATATTGTTATAAGAATAAAATATAATTACGATATATTCAAGTAAAGCAGTAAAATAAATGTACCTAGCAAAATAGACCGAGCTACTTTTTGGCACCTTTACGTGTGCTGGTGTTAGAATTTTACCGATTTTTTTATATTTCTACTTTTAAGACGCTTTTATACTGTATTATAACGTAATTATATAAAGGTAATTTATTACAGGCTTGGGCTGTCAGTAAAAGTTTGTTTGCAGAAAGGATGCGTGTGATCAAGCGCAGCCAATGTGAAATAATGGTTCAAAGAACTGTCAAGCAATATTTTTGCACAGATTATGACAAATCTAGTGCTTTGTCTACAGCAGTAAGTATAAAACACTCATCAGCCTACAAAGATACATCGCTGTATGACAAATTAAATCTTTTAAATAAACTGTTCCAGAATATCATAGTGTTAAATAAAACGCAGGCCTAGAAACTTAATTTTTATATTTTAAAAGTATAGCTTCTTAGTTGGACAGAGTGTGAGTAGTAAAAACACATATTTACCATAAAATCGAACATATATTTTACAAATGCTGCCTATTAATATAACCACTTAAAGAAAAATCTAAAAGCTTATTTAATGTTTTTGAACACATAGCAACTCCATTTTCTCTCAGCCTATCGCATTAAGAGACAGGCCGATACATTGTAGTATTATAATTATATAGTTTTTAAGACGATTATTGTATCTCCATACAAACGTAACAGCATGGCTTGTATTTGTGTTCATCCGATGCGCGCCGCCGTGTAGGTTCGAGTACAGAGTGGGTCATGCATTCTATAATTGAAGCGTGCCCTCTGTGTTTCAAATGCCCTCTGTGTTTCAAAAATTACAAAATACTAAGCGTATTTATTACTGTGTTTTTGGTTATTTCACAAGAGTGCCTCAAATTCAGGATTGTTCAGCATTAAATTTCTATTTCAAAATCATACTCGCATAATCGAGATACCAATCCGCGATGTTCGTACAAAAATATTAACACGTAAGTACTGTATTTAACAAAGGCTATTTCCATATAACCTACGAAAATACTGTGATGGTCACTTTAATTTTTTCAAATTATATTTACGACCTTTAGGAACAACTGAATGAAATATACATTTTATTTTTTATTTCTTGATGTAGGAAAATGTAATGTGTGTGGTTTATTTACAGCATAGGTCCAATCATCATCAACATCATCAAGAAAAAAATAATCCATCTGCAGGTACTTGCGGCTTTACGAGTAATAAGGTGTCAAAATTTTAGATTTGTTACATTGACCTACCAATAAATGGACGTCGGGTTTGTGCTAAAAAGTTTTCGCACCTGTAGGGCGTTAAAATCGCATACAGAGCGTCAATCGCGCAATAGTCTTCGTTTGTTCGAATGACAGCGTGGTTGTCAATCATGCAGTACCAATAATAATAACTTGTAAAAAGAGCTGCATTAAAGTGTGAAAACAGGATTTTGTATCACATTTTCACTAAACAAAAAAAGTGTTATTTTGTACAGTATTAAAGTATTTAATTTATATATAACTGAATCATAGATATAAATCACAAAAGCACACGAAATAATGAAAGGGCTAACTGTCCTTTTTCTACTCATTGCATGTGCAAAAGATGGAAAGAGACCCACTACGTCAGTTTCAAGAAGCTTATGTAAACTTCTTGGTCATTTTCAATTGTTCGAACCACAAGCGATTGAAATATTTAGAACAAAGAAAGTGTAGAGTTGCTTTGATTTTAATCCTATTTTTAAAATAATTTGACGGATATTTGAGTTTACGTTTAGTTAGAATATCGGTACACTTCTTATAGTACACGCTTATTTTCACATTTATAGTAATATTTGTATGTATGTATCTGCCCAACTCTTTATTATACCTTTAAGTGAATTTGTACAAAATTCGACATAAGAATATACATAAAAAATAATAATTAATACTTACGAGAAAGGCTATTCCATTACTCTTGTGTATTAATTAATATTTACGAGAAAGGCATTACTCTTGTGTTCAAGTAATTTTCAGTCGAAGCTAAATATGGTGCATTTTGTTAAGTTTCCAGTAGAAGCTGAATATGGTGTTTTGGCCCCTCAAATTGTTGTAAGCAAATTTAGGCAGTACTGCAATGACGTTACAATTTAAATTAAATGTTTTAGTTTTTTTATATTTCGTTACATGTCACTACGCTTGTATAGGTTAACCTCGGACATTTTTTTCGTGGTTTTTGTATTACATCCGATGTCTATTTGTTGGTAGGTCAATGATTTGTTATTTATTTTTTAACACAATATACTAGTTTCTACTTAACTTGCGTGTTATTGTTATAACTTAACTCTCTAAATTACACTAAAATTAATTTTTCTTTAGTCGAATCTCATGTATTTTGTTAAAAAAGTACATAAAAGAGTTAGCAATTTTGCCGCACATTTACTTATAAAGCCAAGCCAATTATTTTTTTCTACATAGAAAATGGTTGGAACTATATTGTAAGTAACCCACGCACAGTACATTTTCGTATATTTTGAGATAAAAAATAAAATGTATATTACTCCATACAAAAAAGCAATAATTATTTTTTTTCTCTGAAACTATCAACTTTTCAAGAAATTATACAAGAATAAAAGTTGTTAGGAATGTTATTATCTATCATATGAAAAAAATTACCTCGATACTCCAGAAGTTATTCCTATATCCAAGAATTATAAATTTGGACCCGCTACGCGGCGCCACCCGGACAAGAAAAAAATCTTGTCTACTACCGACTCGACGCGCTCTGCCGCTATTGAAACGAACATTTATGCGCGTGGACTGGTGTTGCAAAGTACCACTGTTGCACCACTAATTTTATTGCAACTATTATTAGTTGCATGATTTACTTATAAATTTATTAGAGGTACAACTCGTATTATGGAACCAAACCTTAAAGATTTATAAATATAAACGACGTACTTTTGGGCATGGAGAGAAATATTTATTACTCTTAAGGAATATTCTCAAGAAATGACAAATACAGAAAAAAAAATTTGATAAACTTTTACACCTGTTGTCACAGTGTAAGATAGAGGGTCCAAACGCATCATTCCGTTGCAAAATTGAATGAATCTAGTAAATTTTCTTCTTCTTATACATTTTTCTAAATCTTTTTTCTTATAAATTTTTCTATAGAAAATAATATCTAAAAAATGGTGAAATGGTTTGTTTAGTAGCAAAACGACAAACGACGTAGTAAAACGACAGCTACCTGGAAGACTGGTTAATGCACTGACACGTTTACCCTACACACGTCTGCCCGAAAGCATTCGTATCATGTACATACTCATCATTTTTTTCTCTGCAACAGACGACACATTTTCGTGGCTATATCCGATAAAGTTCTTGTCGTGTACACGGCCATTCTCATCTTTTCTGTAGCAGACACGTCGAATTTCTTAGCGTATACACGCGCCGTAAGGCAGATCTATTGTTTTTTTCGTCTGTCTGTGGTAGACATTAACCGAATAGATGGGAATTGCTCTACTTGTCTAATTATATTATGGATATAATGTATGTATCCGTCAGTAGGCTAAGGTCGCTTTTGAGGTTCATACACTGCTGGAGTATTTACTTTGTATAAATACTAATCATTGTAGTGCGCAAATAAGCACCCTTAAAATTCCGTTATAAGTCATTAAATCTAATAGTGAAACTTATGAAAAGGATTTTGATATATTTACGGTCAAGGACATACTTAGAGGAACGTTAAAAATTTTATTACGATAACAACGTTCGTATGAATAACTGGTCACATGTACCATAACGTTTATTTGAAAGAAGAACGACTTTAATCGTCTTTTGATTTCGAAATTATAGCAGGTATAGAAATTAATTAATTCTCCCTAAGAGCGTAGTAGGTGATGCAGAATTTCCTACATAAACATTTCACGTGGTTTATATGTAAACCGTAAATAACATATCGTCTCCTTACTTTCTCAAACTCGTATCATAAAGCACAAAGTTAGTAAAACGCAAAAATGGATTGTATATACAAATTCTGTAGGATGGTTTCACATCACATTTACTTCATAGTCACACACTTTTATACTTTACCTATTCTTAAAGAAATGCATCCAAATGAACCCACTTGATAAGAAATTTAAAATAAATAGAAAATTTTGCCATCTCCTGAATAATCACTCTTTATAAGATACTAGTTTGAGAAAGCAAGGCAGCGATATGTAGGTCTATCGTTGTTTATAAGAACAACTTTTTTTTAAAGAAAACCCGACATTAAAAGTTAGTGGAATTACATCTATTTGCCAAGTTTTATTGAAATCAGTCACCGGAAAGTGCGCGAAACTGGGTTGATAGTTTGCCACCCTTCAAGGTGGAATATTTTCTTCAAATTTATATTAAATTGGTAAAACTGAGGTGCCTTCTTCCCAACAAAGCGAAAATCATCAAAATCGGTTTACAAAGCCGGAGTAATTGCGTAACATACAAAAAAAAAATAAAGTCGAAAGCCGGTTATAAATCTCTCTCTCATCTGAGCGTTGTCCCGGTTGCGTCCTCAGCAGGGTTGCTGCGGAGCCCGGGGTCCGCTTTCCTACTTTTTCTCCTCCACTTTGCACGGTCTTCGGCATCCTTAGTGGTGAGACCATTGGCACGCATATCACCCTTGGCGACGTCAAGCCAGCACTTCTTGGGTATATAGCCAGACATTTATTTCCCACGTAGCATGCCGGTTTCCGTAGGATGTGGCCGTACCAACGTAGGCGGCTTTCTTGCAGTTTATCTGCAATGTCACGGACATGAAGGCTGCCTCGGATGCGGGAGTTTCTGACACGGTCTTTCCGTGAAACTCCACACATCCAACGCAGCATCTTCATTTCCGTGACACGCAGCTCCTGCTTATGACGCTCAAGTACGGGCCACGTTTCACTGCCATATAAAAGGACAGGTGTAATGATGGATTTATAGACCTGTCCTTTCAGCCTTTCAGCATCTTAGGGTCACAAATTACACCAGTCACCTCACGCCACTTTGCCCAAGCGGCTTCGATTCGGGCTCTGACGTCGCAGTCGATGTCTCCGGACGCGCTAAGTACAGATCCCAAGTATTTAAACTGGCCCGTAGGCTCGACCGCGTCTTCGCCTATGCGTACGGGTAGGGGATCTGTAGCGTTGCAGACCATGTACTCAGTCTTCGCCACATTTAGTCTCAGACCGCCGTTCTCAAGCGACTCCTTCCACACATTCACTCGTTGTACCAGTCTCCCTCTATCCGCATCCGCCAGCGCGATATCGTTAGCGTACGTAAGCATCCACGGGGGTTGCTCATGCGTGTCTCGGATGGAGCTTGAGACCTCGTCTAATATCACGCTGAACAGATAGGGACTGAGAACTGAGCCCTGGTGAACTCCGACTGTGACAGGGAAGGGTTTAGTGTTACCAACAGCAGTCCTAACCATGGAATCGGAATCGCGGTACATGTCTCGGATGATGCCAATATAAGCTTCTGGTACCCCTTTGGATCTCAGTGCCCACCAGATCATTACACGGGGGATACAGTCGAAGGCCTTCTGCATGTCAAGAAACATGAAATGCAGAGGCGTATTCTTCAATCTGTATTTCTCCATGATGACCCTTAGGGCAAAAACAGGATCCATGGTCCCAAAACCAGGCCGAAACCCATATTGACCCTCCGAGACAGCACTCTCCTGTCGGATCCGAGAGTCTATTATACGCTCGAAGAGCTTCATGGTGTGGGACATGACCTTTATGCCCCGATAATCGCCACACTCCTGCACCGATCCCTTCCCTTTGAAGACTGGAGTGATAATACTCAGTCTCCATTTGTTAGGGATTTTACCGGTGAGGAGCACGCGATTAAAGAGGCCGGTAAGGATGCCCATACCACGGGGACCCATTGCCTTCCAGGCCTCGATGGGAACCCCATCGGCTCCGACAGCTTTCCGATTCTTCATGCGACGAAGAGCCAAGTGGACTTCCTCAGGCGTTACCGGTCGCACTAGTCCCTGATTCGGAGGGAGGACCGGTGGCTGCACCTCTCTGTGCTGCTGATTCAGCAGCTCGTGGAAATATGAGCGCCATCTCTCCTTCACCGCGTCGACCTCGCATATAAGGTTGCCATGAGGGTCTTTAATGCAGCGACACTTGGAAATATCTTGTGCCGCTAAGACCCTCGAACGTGCCAGCTTAAAGATAAGCTTCTGCCCCTCAGACGATTCCAACTTGTCATACAACGGCTGCAAGTGGTCCCGTCTGGCTCTGGCTACAGCTTTCTTAGCGGCACGTTTGGCATCCCTATATGCGTCGCGGTCTTCAGAAGATTCGGACGCTTGCCACGTTTTGAAGAGGGCTTTCTTCACCCTCACCTCCCTCTGGACTGTGTCGTTCCACCACCAAGTTTCTTTGTCACATTTGCGACCACCCTTGGACAAGCCCAGCACCGCTTTCGCCGCCTCAGATATGGCAGCCTGAATGTTGTCCCAGTGGTTCTGGACTAGATCACCTTCAGGGTCGGCGCATTTATCGCCGATCGCTGAGATGAACTCCTGGGTCGTGGTACTATCAAGCCGCCACCATTTGATTTGGCGTCGGCAGCGCTCAGCGGGCTTGTCGGCCGGTTATACGCAGAGATCCATGACAAGAAGACGGTGTTGCGCAGTGAGACTCTCACCTGGTATGACCTTGCAGTTGGCCACTTTGCTGATATGATGTCTCGTGGTGAGTAGGAAATCGATTTGGGTGGCGTGTCCGCCGCTCCTGTAGGTGATTAAATGCTCGGGGTTCTTTTTAAAGAACGTGTTCACGATGGCGAGATCGGCCGCCGCACACGTTGTGAGGATGTCTCCTCCCTCCGCGTTGCGACTGCCGTACCCGTAGCCACCGTGGACCCGCTCGAACCCTTCGCCTCACCCACATGACCGTTTAGGTCGCCACCCAAGACGACTGCCTGCGACAAAGGAATGGCACTCAGCACTTTCCCGAGTTGATCCCAGAACCTCGCCCTGTCCGTGTCGCTGCAACCAGCCTGAGGTGCGTAGGCGCCTATCAAGTGGGTCACGACCCCTTCGATAAGCACCCTCACTACCATAAGCCGGTCGCTAAAGCGTTTCACTTCCAGGACGTGATCGTGAAACTCCTCGGAGAGCACCACAGCCACCCCGTTCACGCCCCCAGGAGCACCGGTGTAGATCAGCTTGTAGCCATTCCCAATGAGCCGGGATCTGCTGCCTTTCCACCGAGTCTCCTGCAGGAACGCCACGGCGACCCTCCGCCTGGAAAGCACGTCTGCTAGCTCCCTCGCGCGTCCAGTCAGCGTTCCAATGTTCCACGTGGCAAAGCGGAGCTTCCTGTGATGGGTAGGGGCTCGCATCTTTAACCGTGCCCACCCTTGACACGGTAGCCCTAGTCCACTTGCCACAGAAGTCGGGCGAGGCTCCTGCGCGCCGTTTTGCGGCGGCGCCCTATCCCTATGCCATATCCTTCTGTTGACTTCCATAAGTTGATGTGGCGGTGTTGGTTTTTACGGGAGCGACTGCCGTCTGACCTCCCAACCCCCGAAAGGGAAAACCCCTCGCTAGAGCCTCGTCCGTCTATCAGCAGGCGCACCACTTGCAGGTGAGGTTAGCTTGGGCTCCAAGATGTAGGTGAAGCCCCCAAAACGCCCCAAAGCCGGTTATAAATAAAATATATTAATTCGTGCAATTACCTACTAACTTCAGAAAATAAATACAAAATGTAGTGGTAAATCAGGTATCAACCTCCAGGCAAACTGTAAATAATATATAAAGGGGTTGTTGAATATTTAAAAACACTATTTCGATAAATGTATTAAATTACGTTGTTAAGATTTATCCCGAAACTAAAATACCAACTCAAAACAACATTAACAACAAAAATGTAGTTGTAAAAATGTAGTAGGGGCCAATGATATTATGCTATGCTCACTGCTGGGGGTACAATTAGCAGCCTTGAATGCCAGACGCTGCATAGATAGACATGAGATCTCTGCAGTAGTTGTCAGAGGTTGACAATGTCTATTCATGATATTTTCTTTATTCAGGAAACGGAAGGTGGAGGCCTCGTATGTTACGGAACCGAAGACCCTGAAGAGGACGTAAACGACGGTATCCTCGTGGGAGTGACGTCTTTAGTAAGCATTAATTTACCGAGTTTACATAACAGAATAGGACTATTCCGTCAATGGGTCATCGACAATTCGAACAGTTTAGTCTCATCACATTATTTTTTGTTCACGAGCTTTATGTTTTGGTTCCTATAGTAAATTTTAGCACTTTGAATTCAAGTGTTTTATTCCTTTATCTCCATAAAATAAAATAAACATTTCTCAGCTTAATACTCCTACTGCTGCTGAGCAACGCACGTTATGGAAGTAATTAAGCTAGACACATATTCATTAAATAGAAAACGAGGAAGTGAGTTGCGCCGGGTAGGTGCCGTATTAAGACCATGTGCCACATGCGTTCTTTAGCTATACACGCTGTATCCGCTGTCACGAAGTTATTTTTTATAAGCGCCCAGTTACACGTGGAGAAAGATTTTCACGAGGCCGCCGCGCGGCGACCGCTCAGTTACCACGCCTTGATGTACATTAATGGCGAATCTAAATTCTATTTACTAGGCAACAACATTTAAATTCCCCTGAAAAATATAACCGCACGGCGGGCACCCGGTCGCCGAGCGGGCCGCCACGTGGACCAAATTCAAGTCAGGCTCGACCTCGTGGCCGGGGCTCAATTAAGTTAAAACGTAAAAATTAATGAATAGAGCGTATTTTGCCATGACAGTTAGACGCATGCGGTCGCTGCGCGGCGTGCGCAGTGAGGGCGACGAAATTCATGTGCTCGTTTCTCTCAACCATCCTTGTACAACACTACTCGTACCGCAGCTGATACTATACCAAGAGCTCGCTAATCATAATATAAGACTGGATATTGCATTTCCGAGTGCATGCAAATGAAATATCCATTGTTGTGCCTACCCTTTAACCTTAGATAAAAGTATGAAAACGGAAGTAAATTTGTATGTTGCTACTGCGCTTATCCAGGGAAGGTTAGACCCTGCAAAATCGCTGCGCTTCATCATCAACAACAACAGCCCATCGTAGTCCACTACTGGACATAGGCCTCTCCCAATGCGCGCCATTTCGCCCTTCCTTAGCGTTGCATCCAGTTGCTGCCAGCAGCCCTTCGCAAATCGTCACTCTATCTGGCCATACAATGTCCTACACTATGTTTGCCGAGCCGTGGTCTCCACTTAAGAACTCGCTTTCCCCCTCGGTTATCGGTTCTCCGACAGAGATGGCCAGCCCACTGTCACACCACAAAAAATATATATTCTCCACAAGCGCACCTAGCCCACATCTAGTGGGCCGTGGGCTAGCTGCGCTTGTGGAGAATATATTTTCATGCAGTTAAAACCACGAAAAATACCCTCGTCACGTTTTTCACCTCTCTGCGGCATCATCAGGATATAAATTTTTGTGTTGTTGGTGATGATTGGTAATTGTAGGTTTATTCATATTCAACAAAAGCGCAGTTATTATGCACGACTAACCTTCACTGGGTTCGCGGAGAAGCAAAGTAATTTATTCTCATTTTTAACCGGCTTCAAAAAAAGGACGAGGTTCTCTATTAGACTATGTTTTTTTGTATGTATGTTACGCGATAACTCCGGTATTTGTGAACCAATTTTCATGATTCTTTTTTTGTTGGAAAGAGGGTACCTCCACAGTGGTCCCATTTAATTTTGAAGAAAAGCATCCATCATAAACCCTTATTAACGGCTGTTCACGCATGAAGATTTATTTTTATAAATAGTGCCTAAATTTTATTATAAGTAGCAATTATTTTAATGGTTGATTTTGCTATTCTCCAACTCAAGGCGTTTTTCTCTCAATATACTTGAGTAGTGAGAACCGATTTTTATTATCTCCTGTGTCAAGTCCCATATAGTGGCGAACTAAAAGAAGTGGGGATGAATCCGCGTTTGCGCACTTTCCGGTAACGGATTTCTATAGAACTTGATAGTTATTTGTAATTCCACGTACTTTTGAGGTCGGTTATACGGTACTCTGTACTGAGATTATTATTCATATATTTATCGAATCTATATAATATTTATAAAAAGAGACGTAAATGACTGTTTTATCATTATTATTATTTTCCTTAATGGTGGTTTTGGCCAGTGTATGTTGCTGGTTTATTCTGTACCTACGAGAATGCCAACAATTAGTTACAAAGGAGCAAGCTAATATTTTTGGAAGAAACTGTTCGTTGAGCGCTGTTGTGGTTAACACACCATTTGTCAAAAAAGGCTATAAATGTGCTATGTTTCTTATGACATAAAACGACCTTGAATAAAAAATCTGACCTGTAAAGTTTGTGCAATTATATCTATTCTATTTGCCAAGTTTTATTAAAACCAATTTATCCAATTCAATCAACCTGATTTGTCCTTTGTGATATGTTAAGCGGAATATTGTCTTCAAATTTGAATGGTACCATCATGGAATTACATCTACTTGCCAAGTTTTATTGAAATTGGTTACCGGAAATTACCTTAGAAATTGAATATTTTCTTCAAATTTGAATGGGACCACTACTGGGTACCCTCGTTCCAACAAAAAAGAATCATCTAAATCGGTTCACAAATTATCGTTAGTTTTTTTTTGTAATATCACAGTTGCAAGCACAAACTAGTTTTTTAGAATAATAAACGTGTAACATTCCGTTACACAAGTACCTATACACGCGGGTTTAATGCAAATAGAAAACGTACAAAATGTATGTATACTTGTGTTTGTATCTTACTTGATGGGGCACATCACCAAGTTATATATATATATATAATATATACAGTGGTGGTCACATAATTAAAGACACCCTTGATGTTGACCACATACAACAAATTAAATGATATTTAGAGACCCAAGATAGGTATCAATTCCATTTTAATAGTCATTTTACATACACTGACATCATATATTTTTTAAAATGAGAACAGTATCAAAGTTTAACTAAAAAGAGTTTACATAGTTCCTGTTTCAAATATCATTCAAACTTTTTCGATACATTAGCTGCTGGCCATCTAATTAAAGACAGTGCGTATTTCGTGTTCTAAACTTGAAATAAAAAATAAAAAAGAGCACTGATTTTTTCTAACATTGAGCGAATTTTCGTGATACGCAAAATCTCACTCAGTTTTAGCCGTGCTCTAAGTTTATTGTGAAATTTAAATTGAAATATTATGGGAAAAAGCAAAAGTTGCGATCCTTCCACAAGGAAGATAATTCTGATTTTTTATGAAAAATGGTGGTCATATAGGAAAATTGCAGAACACTTGCGATGCTCGAAAGATATGGTAATGAACGCTATTTTAAGAAATTTAACACTACGGAAAATGTGCCTAGGAAACCTACACCGCGAAAAACAACCCAGCGAGAAGACACAAGAATAGAATTGTTGGCTAAAAAAGACCCTTTCAAAAGATCAGAAGTCATTCGCTTGGAAGTATCTGGTGCAGAGGAATCTAGAGGAGTGTCTGCAAGAACGGTGAGAAGGCGATTATGTGAGGCAAACTTGTTTGGAAGAATTTCTCGGAAGGTACCCCTTTTGAAGAAAGAAAACATCAAAACCAGATTGCTGTTTGCCAAAAAATATGCACATTGGACAGAGCGACAGTGGAAAAATGTGCTTTTTTCTGACGAAACTAAAATAAATATGGTTAACTCTGATGGAAAAGTTTACGTGAGGCGTCCTTCAAAAAAAGAAATGGATCCAAAATACACAAAAAAGACTGTTAAACATGGAGGGGGTAATATCAAAGTTTGGGGATGTTTTTCTGGTCACGGTGTGGGACCTATTAAAAAAATAGAAGGTAACATGGATAAATTTCAATATAAAAATATTTTAGAAAACACCATGTTACCTTATGCCGAGGATCATTTGCCGGTGATATGGACTTTTCAACATGATAATGATCCCAAACACACTTCAGCAGTGGTCAAAGAATTTCTTAGAAGCCAATCAGTAACAGTTTTGGATTGGCCACCGTATAGTCCTGACATTAACCCGATCGAAAACTTGTGGTCCCGTGTGAAGAAAATGGTTGCAAAAAAACGTACAAGTAACGTGCATCAACTATACACGGCATTTAAAGAGGCATGGGAACAGATTTCGATTGAAACTTGCAATAATTTGATTGCTTCTATGCCGAGGCGGTGTCGGGCCGTCATTGCTGCTAAAGGACATGCGACAAAATATTAACAACGTGCTTTTATTTTCTTATTATACATCTGAAACTAATTTTATACTCAAATTCGTTTTAACATTTGTAATATTTTTTTTGCAGTTACATGATTTGTGTGTCTTTAATTAGTTGGCCAAGCTTTTGTATTAGTTTATAACGGTGTAATTAAAGAAACTTAATAAAAATTTAAAATACGACATCTTCGTTCTCTTTATTTCATTTCAAACATTTCACGATACCCGTTAGAATAATTTAAATAATATTGCAAGCTCCTATTGCATTATAATAAAAAAATATAGGATAAGTAAACTTTGAAAAAATAATATTCTCTAAGTGTCTTTAATTATGTGTCCACCACTGTATATATATATATATATATATATATATATAATATATATATATATATATATATAGTGTTCCTTTAATAATTCTGAACGATATCTCTCGAAAACAAAGTACTGTGAAATTTAAGAGACATGTATTTTCCTGTTAAATTAAAATCTCAAAAAAATTTACCAAAGAAAATGACAATATTTGGATTTTTTTACATCTAAGGTAAATAAATTTGAATATGAACTCAAGAGAATTTACACAAAAATTATCATATATATGTTATAGATCATGTATAAGTAAAGTCTGTTCCAATCCAATTTACGCAAAAAGTAAACAAAGAGATAACTGACTGTTTTAGTGATGGTCCATTGTACTGCCAACTACAAATTGATTAATTAATTGAATAAATCGATTTGTTTAATTGAATCAGTATGAATAAATATTCATTTTGCTATTTCGGTGATGATTATTTGCAAAATAGTGATTAAATACTGAGTAACTATATTTCATACATAAAGTCAGAAAATTATAATCTGCATACGTTGTAATCTACTCTACATATTGGCCGTCATGAAGAAGTGGTAAATCGTGGAGTGTTTAAAAAAAGGTTTCATGGATATGAGTCAAATTTACTGTGATAGGCCGGTTAACGGATAAACAAAATGGCGGACTTAGCGTCGACCGGGGTTACCAGTTTCACAATTAAAGAATTAGTATAAGAATGCATACAATACTAAGCTTTGTTTTAAGAACTCCAAAACGTTTGAAAATGTAATTTATTAAATTGCCTAATCACGATTGTTGGCGATTTAAAATAAAAAGTAGTTAACTGATACAGAATAAGAAGCAGTCAATTGACTAATTGGCTCCTCTTGCGGTAATTCCTGATAAATGTTTGATTGGGCGAGAGATGTGAGATATTCGTTATGGCAATTAAAATATTGCTATAGAAGTTTGGTTGTACAAGCGTGCTAGCTTGCGAATAAATGTGGAGTAGGTACTTATACTACCAGTGGTTTTTCTTGCATAACCTATAGGAGCTTTAAGATATACTACCAGTGGTTTTTCTTGCATAACCTATAGGAGCTTTAAGATTCCCGAAATCGTAATTTTAAATCCTCCTTCAAATACTTACACTTAATACCCGTTTCAATTGAAATTGAAATCTACGAGTTTCTAAACGATTACAAAAACTTTAAAACTTTAATTGAATGAACCGAATAATTTTTTTTTGGATACATTATGCTTAATAGTCTGTGGTCATAATTTTTCGACAGAAAAATAACCTCACTTTTGGACTACTGTTTTTCAAATACGCTTTTACGATGTTATTCAAATGAATATTGTTGAAAAAATGATGAAATGTCAAGTCGATATCTTCAAAATATACGTAAAAGTGTTATACAATCTATTAGTCGAGTGATTGTTTTAGAATTTTAAGCAAACCGGTTTGATTACTTTTTGGGTAAAATGGATTGGAACAGACTTTAGATTATTGAATGTTTTTATTGCCTTTTTCATAATATTTTATACAAAAATTGTGCCTATTGTTGAATTATTCTGATTTCGGTGCTAGCTGAATTCGGTGGATCAAATATGTCATTAACTGCTAAGAATCTAGCTGCCCAATTAACGGAATCTTATGTAAGTTTGAGTTCTTTTTCCTTCCCGCTCAATGTCTTTCCTGAAATTAAGAAAAAAAAAATTCGACCACCGAAGTCAGAGAACTTAGCCCTTCTAGGAGAAATGTCCTTAAACTTTAGCAGCTGTAAAGTCCCTTGGAAAACAATTCGCCCAGGAAAGTGTTGCCTTTCCACCATACCTATTTCTGTCGCCAAACAGTAACGCGAGCATTACTGCGTTCCAGTTTCGAACGTTAAGGATGCTGATGAAACCACAGGCATATGGGTCTTGTCAACTTTATACCTCTGGGTGACGGGCGTTGGTAGTGCCCCCCAAATCTTTGCGATTAAAAATTTTAAGTGACACCTGGAACTGTTATGGATAAGCGTGTAGTTTACCATCACGCTCACGAACTTAGGTACGACTTGTTCGTCCCATCTCCTGATATCATAAAAAATCTGTAATGTCTTGTGAGAATTAGCCAAAACATTGTAGGTAATTATAATAAACAATCAGAATAATAAAAACATGGTATTTGTAACAAGAAATAACAAATTTGAAATTGGAACTCTGTTACATGACGATTTCTTAGAATTTATAAATGTGCGATACGAAGACACCCTTGTGAAAAATGAGCCGTGTTTCTTGAGAACGTCGGTCCCACTACTCACTCCTACTAGAATGCCAAGACTACCCTCTTGAGGGTCTCCAGTATTTTTACAAACTAGAGGGCCCCCAGAATCTCCCTGTAACAAATTTTCAAGCGATTATTACTTCTCCCAATTTCTATTTAGTTGACTCTGAGCTTAGTGGTAGTACAACATAAGACGGTGAGATAAACTACGTCATATGACACCAACTACCGTCACCTTTGAGATCACCTGCCAATACTTTTGGCCAAAGTGGAACTGCAATTATTTCTATATAAATAAGAAGCTAATTTGACTTTGAGGGGCAGATTGTCCATCGTACTGATACAGAAAGTGGTGTTATTTACAGGTCTGTCGAATTCAAAGACGACTTGCTGTGCATCATTCTTCTTGGTTCGTTTTATCAGATGACGTAATTTGGCTATCCAGAAATCAAAGTCAAAATTACATTAAAAATTAAAATATAATTGCTATCATAGAACTGTAGAAATGTATAAAAGGTTGAAATTTTGATAACAATGAACCACCATCCACATTATACTAGAACGTTTAGAGCGGTTACACACAGCAACATTTAGCAGCGATTCAGTAGCGATGCAGCCGCTAATCGTTTGCTTTTAGGCCGGGGCCGCACTGGCACGACGACAGCGACGCGGCGGCGACGCAAAAAAATAGGTGGCCGCATTGCAAAAGCGAGAAGTCAGCGAAACGCCGCTATGTCGCTTAATGGGGTGAGAATCAGAATGTCGGGTGTGCCTTAACGGATCCTGATAAATTTGGTATCAAAAAATGTGCCTAATTTGTACTATTTAGTACCTCTATTAAAAAAATTTGTACCTCCATCAGAACGAAGTTATAGCCTTAGAATAATAAATAACGCATAGAATGATAGTTTCATATCAAACGAACTGTCACAAGTGAGGCAAAAACCAAATTCATGTAGGCGTAAGCAACTTGTATCTACGCTCGTCGGCACGCACACAAATATACAAATAAAGATGCCATGGAATAACATTTCCCTCAAAAGTGGGAAAATTGTATCTTGCGTAACTCATCATTAAGTTAAAGGTGCCTACAGATTTGCCCGATTTTGTCGATCGTTACTGTCGATCGACAATGTCGATCAGGTGCCCACAGATATGCTCGGTTTTGTCGATCGTTACTGTCGATCGACAATGTCAAGTGACAAGAATTTTAAAAAATTAATTTTTGGTAATCCTTATAGAAATGGCATTTATATCTGAATACACGATGACGGACACGACTTTTCAAATAAATGCAATATGGGAGGCATTTTCGAGGTATTCGAGGTGCTCCTTACGAATATGGCACTTATTTCTAAATCCAAGATGGCGGGCACGATTTTTCGAATAATTGCAAGTTGGGTATCATTTTCGAGGTATTTGGGGGTGCTCATTATAAATATGGCACTCATTTCTAAATCTAAGATTTTCGCACGATTTTTCAAAAAAATGCTATATGGGTATCATTTTTGAGGTATTTGGGGATGCTCAATGTGAATATGGCACTATTTGTAAATCCAAGATGGCGGGCACGATTTTTCAAATAATGGCAAGTTGGGTATCGTTTTCGAGGTATTTGGAGGGTGCTCATTACGCGCGTTTTTTTTTGTGTTTTATCAAATGACATTAGCGAATTAACACAGCTTGTTGAAAGTGGGACATTTATACAACATTCAACAAGTCAGACTAAGTGATAGTGTGAACACCAGTGTACATCACGCACTCAGCGGAGTTAGTCGTTTTAATTACCTCCGTCCATCACCTTATCATATTATCAATATCACGATCAAATATCAAAGATTATCATCATTCTTATCAATTATCATTATATCAGTGAATGTAGAATAACCCCTACATTTGGTTGCAGTCACGCGTTTGCATCGATGCAAACGCCTTTTAATCTCAAGAGTAGCATGTGTGTGGATGTGTCGCGCGCGTGTGTAAGGCGGCGGCCGCACTACTAAGGCGACTGTGCCGCGACGGCGATTTCGTGAAAACAAACTCATATAAACGTATATCGGTGGTCGCACTGCAGAAACGACAAGCGAAATTTATTTGTTCATATCGTAAAGAAATTTCAAATGTTCTACAAATAATGAGGGTGTCCGCATTAAATAAAATTATTCAGCGACTCGCGACGACTCTTGAATTTCCTACGACAAACAGCGGTGCGATACGGAAATTTGTCACGATTTGCGACAAAATGTGCGGTGATCTACCTAAGCGGCCGCACTGTATCTCGCGGCGTTTGTGCGAAAAAGCGCGACATATCGAGCGAAGAGTTGCGAAGGAGACACCGAACGATGTGAACAAAATTGTTGATTTTGTCGTTCAACTATATGAGTGCGGCGTCAGTACGGCCGCCACTGACTTACAATTATATGGACGTCGGGTCCGCGCTAAAAAGTGTCCGCACTTGTAAGGCGCTAAAATCGTATACAGAGCGCCAAACTCCGCTTTAGTCTTCGTTTGTTCTACCGACAGCGCGATACTGCGATGACATTACAATTTAAATTTCGAATAGGTTGACTTGGGACATTTTTTTCGAGGTTTTTGTATTACACCCGACGTCCATTTATTTGTAAGTCAATGGGTTAGAGTCTGAATAGCGGGTGTACCTTAACGAATCCTGACATATTTGGCACCAAAAAAATGTACCAAAATTATTCTATTTAGTACTTATTCTTAAAAAATCTGTACCTCTATCATAACGAAGTTATAGCGAAATCAAAATTGTAAATAGTTTCGTAATTTTTTTTTTAATCAATTTCCGCCATTTATTTGGGTAACTAGGTACAAGTTCCACCATACAGCCTCTTCATATGTCGGAATTTTTCCTTGTTTTGATGGAAAAGGTGACAAGCGCCTGTTCTTACATAGTTTATTTTATATGTAATGAAAGGTTGATGCCATTTAATTGTGTAGGACAGGGAAAGCGTTTAGTTTTTCAATAAGCAGGTCTTTTATTGATTTAGTACTTTGATTGACATTGATATTA